ATGAACTGTCCTACTGAGGAACATATGGGAGCTGTCAACCGTATCTTAAGATACTTAAAGATGACACCTGGGAAAGGATTATTATTCAAAAGGAATGATAGTCAAAAGGTAGAAGTATTTACTGATGCAGACTGGGCAGGAGATATATCCACCCGACGATCAACCTCTGGGTATTGCACGTATGTATGCGGCAATCTAGTGACATGGAGAAGTAAGAAGCAATCGGTGGTCTCTCGGAGTAGCGCAGAAGCAGAATACAGAGCACTGGCACTTGGAATCTGTGAAGGAATGTGGATCAAAAGATTTCTCAAAGAGCTTGGAATTATGGGAGAAAATTCTATCAAGATGTTCTGTGACAATCAAGCAGCAATCAATATCGCAAATAATCCTGTTCATCATGACCGAACGAAACACATTGAGATTGATCGGAACTTCATTTCAAAGAAGGTGGATAATGGAATCATTGAATTGGTCTATACTCCTAGAGACCAAACCGCAGACATTCTCACCAAGACTCTCCCTAAGTCAAGTTTTGATGAGCTAACCAACAAGTTGGGCATGTACAATCTGTACAACCCACCTTGAGGGGGACTGTGGAATTACGCTCCTTATTATTTACTTTAATTTTATTTAGTAATTGTTATATTTAGTCATATTATAAAAAAGGTAATTATTTAATTATAGGTATTTATGTTTATTCTGTAATTATAAGTATTACTTAATTGTAGGAAGATTTCTTTCCTCTTTCTATTTCTTGTACTCGCCTATTTATAGGTGAATTATCCATGTATTCATGTGAGAAAAGCATTATTCAAAATTCACACTTACTATTCTACACAGTTGCCCTTCCAAAAGCTAGTTTGGCTCTGTGAACATTTTCATACATATAATCAGTAGAGAAGTGATGCATTTGAGATAAGCTGACCAGATTTCAACCTTTCTGTTATAACCAGGAAGAGTTACTTTTGGAGCATTTTGGCGAACTGATTAAATTTGTCAAGAACCGGGCATGTAAGTTCAATTCTCTCATCTACATAATACATATTTTGAAGATTTACATACATACCACTCAATCTTATGTATTTGCATATCTAACACCTAAACTTCAATTTTTACATGCATGTCACTTTACTTAAAACCACGCATCTCTTTTAAAATGTTAAAATGACGGTATTTTTTATGTGATATGAAAGATTTGCGCGGTATTAACGTGGAAGGTAAAGTTTAAATGTTAGGAATTTAAATACCTTGGAATTGGGTGCTATTTATGTAAATACCTCATACACTTGACTTCGTTAACACTTTTAACCTCAATAGTGGAAGAAACGAGTTCCAGCATCGAAAAATCAGCGGTTTCCGACGTCGAACCGTTAGTGAAGGACTTTGCCAGCAGGTGGAAGAATGCAATAGAGCTCATGCACAGGGATGTCATTACATCCTTCAGCAACTTCCTGTGTGGGATGGATATACTGAAAGCTGCTCTGACACAACTACTTCTGTATTATACAAGGCTCTCAGAAAGCGTCAAGAAAATTGCTGGCGGATCAGTTCTTAACAAGGACCTGGTATCAATTTCTTCTATTTTATATGAGATCAAAAAATATTCCAGAACATTCTAGATCTTTCGAAATCCCCATTGAAATTGGTTCTGCCGAGTCTCTCTTGAACATGCTTCCTTCTCATTCTTTGTTTGCACAATAAAGTTAGTACTGGCTGTCTATTTTTACTGATGCTGACTGAGCAAGAGATATATCCACCCGACAATCAACCTCTGGGTATTGCTCTTATTTATGCGACAATCTAGTGACATGGAGAAGCAAGAAGCAATCGATGGTATCTCTGAGTAGTGCAGAAGCAAAATACAGAGCACTAGCGCTTGGTATCTGTGAAGGAATGTGGATCAAAAAATTTCTCAAGGAGCTTGGAATTATGGGAGAAAATTCTATCAAGATGTTCTGTGACAATCAAGCTGCAATCAGTATCGCAAACATTCTCACCAAGACTCTCCCTAAGTCAAGTTTTGATGAGCTAACCAACAAGTTGGGCATGTACAATCTGTACAACCCACCTTGAGGGGGACTGTGGAATTACGCTCCTTATTATTTACTTTAATTTTATTTAGTAATTGTTATATTTAGTCATATTATAAAAAAGGTAATTATTTAATTATAGGTATTTATGTTTATTCTGTAATTATAAGTATTACTTAATTGTAGGAAGATTTCTTTCCTCTTTCTATTTCTTGTACTCGCCTATTTATAGGTGAATTATCCATGTATTCATGTGAGAAAAGCATTATTCAAAATTCACACTTACTATTCTACACAGTTGCCCTTCCAAAAGCTAGTTTGGCTCTGTGAACATTTTCATACATATAATCAGTAGAGAAGTGATGCATTTGAGATAAGCTGACCAGATTTCAACCTTTCTGTTATAACCAGGAAGAGTTACTTTTGGAGCATTTTGGCGAACTGATTAAATTTGTCAAGAACCGGGCATGTAAGTTCAATTCTCTCATCTACATAATACATATTTTGAAGATTTACATACATACCACTCAATCTTATGTATTTGCATATCTAACACCTAAACTTCAATTTTTACATGCATGCCACTTTACTTTAAACCGCGCATCTCTTTTAGAATGTTAAAATAGCTGTATTTTTGATGTGATATGAAAGATTTGCGTGATATTAATGTGGGAAGTAAAGTTTAAATGTTAGGAATTTAAATACATTGGAATTGGGTGCTATTTATGTAAATGCCTCATACACTTGACTTCGTTAACACTTTTAACCTCAATAGTGGAAGAAACGAGTTCCAGCATCGAAAAATCAGCGGTTTCCGACGTCGAACCGTTAGTGAAGGACTTTGCCAGCAGGTGGAAGAATGCAATAGAGCTCATGCACAGGGATGTCATTACATCCTTCAGCAACTTCCTGTGTGGGATGGATATACTGAAAGCTGCTCTGACACAACTACTTCTGTATTATACAAGGCTCTCAGAAAGCGTCAAGAAAATTGCTGGCGGATCAGTTCTTAACAAGGACCTGGTATCAATTTCTTCTATTTTATATGAGATCAAAAAATATTCCAGAACATTCTAGATCTTTCGAAATCCTCATTGAAATTGGTTCTGCCGAGTCTCTCTTGAACATGCTTCCTTCTCATTCTTTGTTTGCACAATAAAGTTAGTACTGGTTGTCTATTCTGCTATTTTGTTCTGCTTTCTGAGAAGGGAAAATGTTGTGTTTTTTGCTTATAAGAATGTAATTTATGATTTTATTTGAAGGTTTGTAGTGAAAAAAAAATGAACTTTGGCATATATGTTGTATAAATTTGGATTCGGTAGCATTTTTATGGCATAGTGACACATGTAGGATCTGAAATATAAAGTTATATAGGGAAATTTACTTATGCACCACACATTTCTTATGGATTTACATATTTACCATCAAAAGTTTAATATTTACATTTATAACACCTTGGTGTTATAAACCTATGCATAAAAAAGGTATATTTTACTTTTAAGAAGTTAGTAAAGTGGAATTGTTGATGTGTTATTTATGGTTTTTGTTCGTATAATTTAGTTTAATTTTTTGTTCAATAAATAGTTTATTTTGTTTTTTTGTTATCTTATAAATAAAATTACAAAAATACTTGATTATTTCTCGCAGCTTAATTTTTAATATATACAAAACATATTTATGCGTTTAAAGATGAGATTATTCATCCTAAATTAGGGATCTCAAAAGGGAGAAATATTTGCGTACGTACGACATACGCAGTGCTGCGTACGTCAGGTTGGTTACATGGATGGTATTGTGGGTTATATCTACGTTATATCCTCTGTAACATCTCTGTAACATATCTATAGCTTAGAAATATATGAAAACAGAAACGCGGAACTTACTAGTTATAAGTAGGTTATGGGGAGGTTATATGAGGTATAACGTGGATATAACCCTCAATAATCTCCCTGTAACCTACTAGACGTACGCATGTCTTACGTACACAAATATTTCTCCTCAAAAGGAGGCGGCAGCAGCAAATCGTGATTGAAAATGAGAAAATTACTTTCAGCGCGCAAGTATTTTTCTTTATACGCATAAATATGTCTTACGTATGCATGTCTTCGTGGCATTTTAATTCAGAAATCACATACGTAGCACTCAATTTTTATACATTAACATATCTCACACCAAATAAAGCACTTTACCTATGTATAAACATGTGAATTTTACTATTGAAAAGTGTGATGAGTGATAAATTTGGCATTTTGTTTGCACAAATTGAAATTTTAGCGTGAGATGTATAAATGCATAAGAATTGGGTGGTATGTATGTAAATTCCTCATTTTTATTTTATTATTTTATTGGAAGATTTACAGCATACCATTAAATTCTTATGTTTAACATATCTAACACCTAAAAATTTTATTTTTATATTCATGTCACCTTATGTATAGATGAAAATATGGATTTCACACCTTAAAAGTTATTGAAATTTTAATGTGATGTGAAAGAAATTTGTTGGTATAAATGTAAAATAGTAATGTTTAGGTGTTAGATATGTAAATATATGAGATGTAGGTGGTATGCATGTAATTTTTCTTTTTTCTTTTGGAAAATTTACATGCCTAACACAAAATTATAGTTTTTTTATGTTCAAAACTAATTGTATTTTTTATATATGAACGGTTTAGTTGATTTCATAGCTTTTGTTTGTTTTCACTCTTCGTTATCGTCTTTTGCTAAGAAAAGATTTCTCTTCTGTTTTTGTCACCGACTCTCTGGCAAGGAGAGCTTTTTCCTGACTTTGGAGAAGGAAGATTCCAGCATTTTCAACATCTCAACTCTCCAACGAGGAATGCTTCCTCATCTCTTTGGAGGAGGCAAAATCCAGCGGTGTCGTCGCTCTCTTTAGGGAGGAGTGCTTCTTCCTACAGGAAGACAAGCTTCAAGCAACCATCACGAAGGTGAAATTCCTTAATCTCTTACTATTGTCATTCTTAGGCCCCCTAGGTTTGGGTGAAATTTGGTTAGGATTTTGATTTTCTAGAGGTAGTAGGGTTGTTATATAATGAGTATTATTTTAAAATATTTTAATTGACTAAAGTGCTACAAAGATTTATAATCAATTAAAATTATTAATTAAAAATAGAATAAAAATGTATTAAATTCTATTTAAATGAATGCTTTAATATAAATAACAAGATTTAAATCTCGCTATACCCTTAACATTCCATGGTTGTGTGATTAGGGTTGTCAAAATAGTTCATTATTCGTGAATAGCTCGTGTTCGGCCCGATAAGCAAGCGAAAAATACAAAGTTTTTTGAGCTCGATGTATAAACGAGTTGAACACGAACAGTGATATTTTTAACAAGTCGAGTCTGGACTCAATTAAACTCGACTCGTTTACAGCCCTAACGACTGCATACATGACTAGGGTTGTCAAAAATATTTTTTGTTTGCGAACAGCGGGTGTTCGGCTTGACAAGCAAACAAGCTAAACACAAACAATTTTTTTTGTGTTTGAAATATAAACGAGTCAAACACGAAAAATGATATTTTTTAACTAGCGGAACACGAGTTGAGTCAAGGCTCGCTCGTTTACACCTTTATATAGAGGAAACCGCATAGGATTAGGAGCCTTTGAGAAAAACATACTTTTTTTCATTTCTAGCACAAAATCCTAACATTTCGGGACGTTGTAACCCCGTGCTTGCGCCGGTGATTTTGCCCCACAATGGAGGGAAGTGAAATTTGTTATTTGGGCCTAGAGAACAAAAATTCCCACGACTTTGGCATTCCCTACGTTGTGAAGATTTTCTCCATGGAATTCTTTTGTACCGGGCAAATGGAGGCAGTTGCACGTCGCTTTGTGCGACGTTCGCCTCGTTCCGTTAATTAGCCCCAAGGTTTACCCGTGAGTTCGTTAAGGTGAGCACGATTCGTTGTTGAATATAATTGAATCTCATATTGCATGTATTTCGTATTTGTGTTGCATGCACCGCATGGATTATTTTCAAAAATGCATCAAAACCATCCATTTTTGTGTATGTAATTTATAGGTTGCATCCTCCAGTTCGATCGATTTTCGTCAGTCTACTCGATCAATTGGCCACTACCGACCCAATCACATCGATAGACTGCCCTTTGTCGGTCGGCTACACCCTTTGATTCGGTTGATTATCGTCAGTTTACTCGATCGATTAGCCAACACTGACCCCATCGTATCGATCGACCGCCCTTTGTTGATCGATCACACGTCAGTCGATCAACTATCTTCGATCCATTCGATCGATCGTTCGGCCACCAGCCCGATCACATCGATGGACCATTCTTCGTTGATCGGTTGCGTACTCCGGCCTGATCGACCATCATCAGTCCATTCGATTTATCGCCCTCCCATAGACCCGACTGTATCGATCGACCATTTTCGTCGGTCAGTCGCACACTCCAGCTCGATCGACTATCTCTGGTCCCTCAATCACTCGCTTGCCACCGGCCCGATCATATTATCGATTGTCCTTCGTTGATCATTTGCACACCTGTCATATCGACCTTCTTTGGTAGACATTATCGATACGCCGCCACTGGCTCGATCGGTGTCGTCACTAGTTTGGTTGATCAATCAATTTTTTTTCATTTGGTATGTTGTATTTCTTGCATGATTCTTCACATTTCCTACATTAGCGCATCCATACTTGCACACTGTCGTGCACCAATGAGCACATCCCCCCATACGTTCATGATGAGTATCTGTGCCTCCCAGCAGTATACTACTCTATATATCTGCTTCGTGGCGTTCTTATGTCACTTGGCACTGTGTCACAAGTGGTTTGCACTTGCATTTTTAACTCTTTTATGTTTGCTTGTATAGTACCTTGCATGTTTGTACTTGTTTGCTTGAAGTCTTTTGCAATTGGATTAGTGTTCTCATACACCTACTCCTCACACTCACACCTTATGTGAATGGATGGCACATCACCAAGCCAATCCATTGTGTAATCCCCTCTAACGAAAGTTGCATCCTTTCACTCCCTACAACACTGCTACGAACTGTGGTAGGTGCCCCTCTGGATCAGTGCCTCCATGACACATCCACCCTTTGGGTCATTGCCTCCGCGGCACACTTACCATCTGGGTTACTGCTTCCAAGACACACCCACCTTCTGGATCATCGCCTCCACGTTACACCCACCCTTCGGGTCACTGCCTCCATGACACACACCCTCCGGGTCACTTCCTCCACGGTAGAGCCACCTTTCGGGCCACTGCCTCCACAACACATGTGCCCCTCTAGGTCACTTCCTCCATGGTACGTCCACCCTCCGGGTCACTGCCTTCATGACACACTCATTTTCATTTGTGTTGTATGTCTTACATGCATCATTCATCACTACAGACGCATTCGTCACTAGGGTATGTAGTGTATGCTAATGGTGAATGTTTGTCATCTTTCGATCACTCATACTCTGCAAGGACGATCGTATCACACAGAATCATGTTGCATTTGCATGCACATTTTTTGAGTGTCTCGAGGATAAATCTGGCTCGTTGGTTGAGTGACCCATTGTTGTTTACGACGGGCTAGCGAGTATTGCCCCCAAGAATGCCTCAATGGGGCAATACTAGCTACCACGATGTGATTAGTGTGCATATATTGTGTTAAGGTTCCCAGGGGTCTAATAGGTGCTATTTAGGCCTTTCATTTCATAGGAACTATTTTGAAAGGATAAATATATATATATATATATATATATATATTTATCCTTTCAAAATAGTATGCGTCACATTTTCAAAATCTATTTTGAAGTTACTTGCATACTTAACTTAGACCATACATGAGGTCAACTTTTTAAAAGCTTTTCGAAACCTGCATTTAGTGTTGCTTTTTAGAATCCTTGGATCCTTAGGATGAAGCCGGTGATTGCGACCCCATCAAAAACTTATGCTAGCCTTCTGACATAACCCTGAACTCACTTAAATGTTATGTTAAGACACTACATTAGATGATGTGCTAGGCTAAGGACTAGGATGCTAGGTAGTCTTTTTTGATGTCATGATTATAGTTCTCTGTCGATTTTGTTGCTCTAGCCAAGCATCATCTTTTCTGCTTTTGGTGAGCTTACATGCTTACCATTTTGATATGCATAGTAGTTTATTAGGTCGGCCTTCTTATAGAGAGTCATGCCTAAAATACACAACACACGTGTAAGAGAGGGGGAGCAATGTAATGATTTGTATAGCTCATTTTTGCATGCACTGCTTAGCTCCTCCCGCCAGGCATGACTCATATGTGTTGCACGATTTTTGCC